GGCTTTGAAATTTTATACACTTATTTGAAAATATGATAGGTCACTCTCCAAGGCCAAGTAACATGGACTTAAAAAATTTGTTTGCCCTTTCACATCCTTTCCTGCTGACTGCTCTTGTAAAGTTATTTTTAACTCTTTAATTCAAAATGAATATAAATATATATCAAGGTTAATGTACCTTTAATTAAAGCAATTGTAAATGAAGTGGCTTTTGCATTATCTACAATGATATAGGAGTAGATCTTTTCAGAAATGTCTTCTTTGAGTGCTTGTGTGATTGTATATTTTTGTTTCTCCTCTAAGGAGTAGTGGCAACATTTCGGGATCACATCTCCGTCGTCTGTCTGTCCGTCCGTCCGTCTGTCACAAAACTTGTCCTACTCCTCATAAACTACTGGTGCAATTTCATCCAAACTTTACAGGAATGATCAGTAACTAGTCTAGTTGTGCATATTGTCAGCATTTTCCGGATTCAATGATTTTTGTTAGAGTTTTGGCCCTTTAATAATTTTTAGCTTGACTATTCGATAAGAATAAAGAGCTATTGTAGTCACCCGAGCGTTGGCGTAACCACATATGTTAAAGTTTTTGTAATAGTTAAAATATTTTCAAAGTCCATATGGCATATGACATATGGCTTTGGAACTTTGCACACTTGTTCACCATCATTACCCCAACCTGTAAACAGGAGGAGGTAATTGTATCAAGCATTTTTTTTACTATCAAGCACTTATAATAGTCGAGCGTTGCTGTCCTACCGACAGCTCTTGTTATTTTTAAAGTTTGTCCGGACTACTTCTCTTATACCACGAATGCAATGTCAATGAAACTTTACAGGATTGATCTATAGCTCAAGTTCTTGCACATATTGCACGGGTTTTCCGGTTGAATGCTTTTAGGCCGAGTTATGGCCCTTTGTTAAAAAGGTGTTTTTTTCTGTGTGTTGCCAGATACACAAAAGCTTGTCCGGACTACTCCTCATAAAGTACTGGTGCAATTTCATCCAAACTTTACAGGAATGATCAGTACCAAGTCTAGTTATGCATATTGTCAGCATTTTCCGGTTCAATGATTTATATCAGAGTTAAGGCCCTTTAATAATTTTTAGCTCACCTGTCAGAAAGTGACAGGGTGTGTTTTTGTGATCTCTTTTCTTCCGTCGTCTGTCTGTCGTCCGTCCGGCGTCCGCCCGTAAACTATTGCTTTAAATGACATCTCCTCATAAACCACTGAGCCAATTTCATCCAAACTTCACAGGAATGTTCCTTTGTTGGTCACCTATAAAAGTTGTTCAAAGAATTTAATTCCATGCAGAACTCTGGTTGCCATGGCAACCGAAAGAAAAATCTTTAAAAATCTTCTTTTAAAGAACTGTAAGAGCTAGAGCTTAGATATTTGGCATGAAACATCTTCTAATAAGTGTCTACCAAGTTTGTTCAAATAAAAGCCCTGGGGTCTAAATTGGCCCCGCCCTGGGGGGGTCATTGGTTTTCTCTATATGCATATAGTAAAAAGTTAAAAAAATTTCTTTTAAAGAACTGTAAGAGCTAGAGCTAAGATATTTGGCATAATGATGAAATATCTTCTAGTGAGTGTTTACCAAGTTTGTTCAAATAAAAGCCCTGGGGTCAAAAATGGCCCTGCCCCGTGGGGTCATTGATTTTCCCTATATGCATAAAGTAAAAACTTAAAAAATCTTCTTTTAAAGAACTGTAAGAGCTAGAGCTTAGATATTTGGCATGAAACATCTTCTAGTGAATGTCTACCAAGTTTGTTCAGATAAAAGCCCTGGGGTCAAAATTGGCCCTGCCCCGGGGGTCATTGATTTTCCCAAATGCATATAGTAAAAACTTAAAAAATCTTTAATTAAAGAACCGTAAGAGCTAGAGCTAAGATATTTGGCATGAAACATCTTCTAGTGAGTGTCTACCAAGTTTGTTCAAATAAAAGCCCTGGGGTCAAAATTGGCCCCACCCCAGGGATCATTGATTTTCACTATATGCATAAAGTAAAAACTTAAAAAATCTTCTTTTAAAGAACCCAAAGAGCTAGAGCTAACATTTTTGGCATGAAACATCTTCTAGTGAGTGTCTACCAAGTTTGTTCAAATAAAAGCCCTGGGGTCAAAATTGGCCCCACCCTGGGGGTCATTGATTTTCCCTATGTGCATATACTAAAAACTTAAAAAATCTTCTTTTAAATAACCCAAAGAGCTAGAGCTAAGATATTTGGCATGAAACATCTTCTAGTAAGTGTCTACCAAGTTTGTTCAAATAAAAGCCCTGGGGTCTTAATTGGCCCGGCCCCAGGGGGTCATTGATTTTCCCTATATGCATATAGTAAAAACTCAAAAAATCTTCTTTTAAAGAACCGTAAGAGCTAGAGCTTAGATATTTGGCATGAAACATCTTCTAGTGAATGTCTACCAAGTTTGTTCAAATAAAAGCTCTTGGGTCAAAATTGGCCCCGCCCCAGGGGGTCATTGATTTTCTCTTTATGCATATAGTAAAAACTTTAAAAAAATTCTTTTAAAGAACCCAAAGAGCTAGAGCTTAGATATTTAGCATGAAACATGTTCTAATGGGTGTCTACCAAGTATGTTCAAATAAAAGCCCTGGGGTCAAAACTGGCCCCGCCCGGGGGGGGGGGGGTCATTGATTTTCCTTATATGTGTATAGCAAAAACTTAAAAATCTTCTTTGGAAAAACCCAAATAGCTAGAGTTTAGATATTAAGCATGAAACATCTTTTAGTAAATATCTACAAAGTTTGTTCAAATAAACACCCGGGGAGACATTGTTTTTAACTATATGTGTATAGTAAAAACTTTAAAAATCTTCTTTTAAAAAAGCCAATGAGCTAGAACTTAGATGTTTAGCATGAAACATCTTCTTATGGGTGTCTACCAAGTCTGTTCAAATAAACAAATAAAAGCCCTTGGGTAAAAATTAGCCCGGGGTGGGGGGCCTATATACAGGTGAGCGACCTCAGGGCCATCATGGCCCTCTTGTTCTGTGTGTTGCCAGATACACATAAGCTTGTCCAGACTATTCCTCAAAAACTACTGGTGCAATTTTATTCAAACTTCACAGGAATGATCAGTACCAAGTCTAGTTGTGCACCGTCCCTCTGTCCGTCCGTCTATCACAAAACTTGTCCGAACATAAAATTGGCCATCATGAGGCGACACGTGATTTCTGATCGCTCTTGTTGTTAAACATTTCAAAGGCACATATATCCTCATTCAAAAATCTCATTTCCTTTTTTCTGTAGAAACCTTTTGAAAATGTGATTTATATTTTCTCATTACAGATGTCAATTGTGTCAATTTTTGATGGACAGCTCACTAAATATTTTAGAGTGACCAGATAAATGGACTTAAATGGAACCAATAAAAGGTAAAAATCAATTTATTCATAACTATTTAGACATTTTAATCACATTTTATGTCGAAAGATGAACATACAGGGACAGTTGAGTTGAGAGTTCATGGAGAGTTGAGTTAAGCGTACTAGGTGAGTTGAGCTGAGTGTACAGGGTGAATAGAGTTTTGTTTAGCATACTGGAAGATTTGAGTTGAAGTGAGGTTACAGGGAGAGTTAAGTGTATGGGGAGATTTGAGTTGAGTGTGCGGTGAGTTGAGTTGAGATTACAGGGAGAGTTGTGTTGATTTTGAGTATACAGAGTTGAGTTGAGTGCACATAGGGAGTTGTGTTGGTGTGAGCGTACAGAGAGAGTTGACTGGATTTAAGCTGAGTGTACGGGGAGAGTTGAGTTGAGCATACAGGGAGAGTTTAGTTGACTGTATTGGGAGAGTTGAGTTGAGCATACAGGTAGAGTTGAATTGACTGTATTTGGAGAGTTGAGTTGAATTGACTGTATTTGGAGAGTTGAGTTGAATTGAGTGTATGGGAAAGGTTGAGTTGAGTGTATAGGAAAATTTCAGTTGAGTTGTGTGAAAGGACAGAGTTGAGTTGAGCATACAGGTAGAGTTGAATTGACTGTATTTGGAGAGTTGAGTTGAATTGACTGTATTTGGAGAGTTGAGTTGAATTGAGTGTATGGGAAAGGTTGAGTTGAGTGTATAGGAAAATTTCAGTTGAGTTGTGTGAAAGGACAGAGTTGAATTGAGGTTACAGGTAGAAATGGTGTATGGTTATGAGTTGAGTTGAGTGTATGGTGTAAGTTGAGTTGAGTGTATGGGAAGAGTTGTGTTGAGCTAAGGAGAGAGTTGAGTTGAGTGCATGGGGAAAGTTGAATTGTGTTGAGTGTATGGAGAGAATTGAGTTGAGTGAAATAGTGTAACCTTAAAATGATACAGTCAAACTTAAAAATGATCCTGTCCAATCCTCAAAACAATATAGTTGAACTGTAAATTGATACTGTCCAATCCTTAAACTGATATAGTTTTACCTGGGAATGATATACTCAAACCTTAAAATGATAAAGTTAAACCTTCAAATGATATAACCGAATCTTGAAATGATACTGTCCAATCCTTAATATGATATAGTCGAACCTTTGAATGATACTGGCCAATCAAAAACAGTGGTTGCCAAAATAAAGTAAAGTGATTGCCAATTACCTCCAGTTGTCCAATTGTATCATAAAAGTCAATTAAGATTTTGCATGCATACCTCTTAATGACGTATCATTTGGAGCAGTGATAGGCAAAAAAGTCACACTGTCAAATTATATATAAAAGTATACGCCTGTTACGGAGGCATAGCATTGTTATAATGTATATATAAAAGTATACGCCCGTTACCCGTCCCTAGATTTGCCACTAAAATGCCACCCTTTTCAATGGTGGAGTATTTAGACAATTTTCCACCAACAATGCCACCAAAACGCCACCCAAATCATGAAAATGGTGAAAAATTTGAGCAGGACTGATGTTATATAATTTTCCAGTTAATTCCACCTTTTTTACACTAAATGCCACCAATGAGTGGAAAATTGGTGGAGTATTTAGACAAACTTTCACCATAATGCCACCGTTATGCCACCTTAGGGTGGCAAACTCATTTTCCACTAGATGCCACTTGTTTCCACTTATTGCCACCATAATGGTGGAAAATTGGTGGAGTATTTAGACAAATTTCCACCATTATGCCACCATTGAGTGGCAAACTTAATTTTTCCACCAAATGCCACTTATTTCCACCTTTTGCCACCATAAGGGTGGAAAATTGGTGGAGTATTTAGACACTTTTCCACCATTTTGCCACCAGATAGTGGCAAATTCAGTTTCCACTAAATGCCACCTATTTTCACCCTTTCAGAAATTTTCCACCTTGTGGGTGGCAATAGCTGGAAACTGCTTGAAAGTCACCCTGTACCCTAAATTGGAAACAAACAAATTTTAAAAATAATCCTTTTTAATGTTTCCATATGAAATTATATATTGTCTCAAAAAATAGCAAAACATAAGTCCATTTATTTTCTTCAGTTTATCTTGCTATTCCTGGACGGTTTGAGTTCAGTCCTTTAGGTTGTCGGCAACTTTTCGAGCGCACAATCTAAAACAAAAAAATTATGAATGATTAATACAATAATTAAAAACATAAGCTTACATTTTTATATGACTATTGGATATTTCTATATTCAATTTGAGTGCATAGATATGATTAAAACACTTTAAAAAACAGCACTGCAGACGTGGAAGAATCAGACTTTTCTTATTTACTCCAAGGCAGAAAATATACGCAGAATCAAAAATGATATTTTCATTCAGTTCATTAGTTACCTTCCAAGAACTTAAGTTTTGCCTTGTCTGCACAAGAAGGTCTGGCTTCAGACTCTCTGTTCCCTTTCCTCATACCAAACAATGAGCCGCCTTTAATCTCTTCTATATTGAATAGCATTCTGAAGAGCTTTGCTGTACCTTTCTCTTTTGAGGCATATGGCTTCAGTTCTGCCATCACTTGGTCCTAAAATATGATTAACAATATCAAATAAGTAAAGACAGAAAATGATTATCAATATCTAATATGTAAAGACAGAAAATGAAACACTTTTATAAGACCTTGGTATATGTATACAACTCTAAAATTTTTAAATAAGAAAGAAATAAAGAAATACAACACATCAACACCAGTGCAGGTTGAGTTATTAATATTATAATCTTCCAGTTTCAGTTCTTAAGGAACCTTCATCAGGATAAATATTTGATAAAATTTTCAAGCTAAAATGTACAAAAACTCTAAAATTTGTAAAACAAAATGTAAATGCAAATTAAAGTGTCATAAAGAGTTTGAATTAAAGTAGGTTTGTAAATAGTGACTAATAGCTATATTTATCAAGAACTGAAAAGTGTCTAATTGGGTACTGTGACACTTCTTTCCTATTAATTCTAAAATAACTTTGAATTAACAAGATACCTTTGTAAAGCCACTGAAGATCAAATGTGTTGCTCCAGGCTGCTCCTCATTGCTTTGTGTCTGCAAAATAATAATTCTTATTTAATGCTGTTTCTGTTATGAACTGTCATTCTCCTAATAGCATGTTACTCTAGACTGTCTAGTTATGGTTATATAATTATCTACTGCACCATGAAAGCTGAATTACAACAATGAAGGAATTAAACTTACTAATAAATCAGTTACTGTTAATCTGCTCCACATGTGACACACAAGGAAATATGTTTAAAGCATGAAAGTTTGTAGTAATAGGTACCTGGTTATCTATAGTTTGATTGATGTAATATTGTACATAATGATATTGTACTTACTGATTAATTTCTATAATTTTTTTCTCAAACTTAAAATTTCTAACATATTGTATTTAAGAAATGATGAAGATCTTCCTACATTCTTTATATTCCTACATTCTTTATATGTACATTGTACATGCAGCTTTCTTTTTAGTCAAGTTACAAACAAAACAAATATAAAACACAATTTTATACAATACCACTTCATATTTTTACTGTCAAAAAACTAAACAGTTTCTGCATAAATAACAATAATTATTGTATGTAAAAGTTGTTTACCTGAAACTTTGACTGGGAATGATTCTGCTGTTTATCTTCTTGTCTACACATTCACACTTCAGTTAAAACTTCTCATTTATATTTACCACACTAATAAGACTTTAAATGTTTTCTTTGAGAAATCAAAAATATGCACCCTTACATTTTAAACAAAATATCTCCAGAATTGCTACAATATCAATAATTTCCTTTGTGTTTACAAGCTTTAACTGACCCCAATACCTTTGAATTCAAACTTTACAACGTGTAACTGCATGGACAGTCCATTATAATTTTAAATTGTGAGGGGTTTTCCAAAAACCATAGCACCCATCATTTTATTTTTTACATTCATTTGAATGTATAACTATATCTAATACCTAAATAGATTGAGTAGAAATAAGCTTTTGAAAGATAATTTAGAATGCTATTTTAAGACAAATTCTACATAAAAACATGTATAATGTTGCCTCTCCCAAAATAATCAAATGGAAACATTCTGGTCAGCATGAGTAAACTATTAACCCCCATTCATAGATTACTAGATAAGAGGGCAGTAGTTTTATCAGATCTGAGATGTATGCTGTGTTGTTAAATCTTAGAGGATGCAGTATTTACTAGCTAGTATTTACTTATCCTGATTGTAAGAAATTTATCAGACATTATGACTTATTTACTTTTCACACATTAATTTTTACAATAGATTTAAAGCCTCTGAAAGCATAGCACAAAAGATGTTAGAGACAATAATTTTAAACTCCACATTTAACTAAATCTCATTTATGAGAAGTTACAATGCCAAGGAACCATAACTTTTTATTGCATGATTTGGGGTTTATTGCCATTTTTGGCCGGGTTGCACTGGTGCAAACCCGGGTTATAGTATGGTGAATGTTGGGCGGCGGGCGGGCGTCCGGGCGGGCGGCGGGCGGGCGGGGAAAAAACTTTCGTAACAGTTTTCTCAGCAACTACTTATCACAGCCTTTTGATATTTGGTATACAGTATCAATTCATGGTCCCATACTGTGGGATTCGATTTCAGGTCTGGTGCTCATCTACTTCCTGTTTGCTGACCTATTTAAATTTTTAGCATTAATGGTCAATAGTAGGAAATTTTCGTAACAGTTTTCTCAGCAACTAGGTATCACAGCCTTTTGATATTTGGTATACAGCATTGACACATGGTCCCGGCATGCTGTGGGATTGGATTTCAGGTCTGTCGCTCATCCACTTCCTGTTAATCCACTTAGTTAAATTAGTAAGATTTTTCGACATTAATGGTCAATGGTAGGAAATTTTCGTAACAGTTTTCTCAGCAACTACTTATCACAGCCTCTTGATATTTGGCATACAGCATTGACACATGGTCCCATACCGTGGGATTTGATTTCAGGTCTGTCGCTCATCCACTTCCTGTTAATCCACTTAGTTGAATTAGTAAGATTTTTCGACATTAATGGTCAATGGTAGGAAATATTCGTAACAGTTTTCTCAGCAACTACTTATCACAGCCTCTTGATAATTGGCATACAGCATTGACACATGGTTCCATACCGTGGGATTGGATTTCAGGTCTGTAGCTCATCCACTTCCTGTTAATCCACTTAGTTGAATTAGTTAGATTTTTCGACATTAATGGTCAATGGTTGGAAATTTTCGTAACAGTTTTCTCAGCAACTACTTATCACAGCCTCTTGATATTTAGCATACAGCATTGACACATGGTCCCATACCGTGGGATTTGATTTCAGGTCTGTCGCTCATCCACTTCCTGTTTATCCACTTAGTTGAATTAGTTAGATTTTCGACCTTAATGGTCAATGGTAGGAAATTTTCATAACAGTTTTCTCAGCAACTACTTATCACAGCCTCTTGATATTTGGCACACATGGTCCCATACTGTGGGATTTGATTTCAAGTCTGTCGCTCATCCACTTCCTGTTTATCCACTTAGTTAAATTAGTTAGATTTTTTAACATTAATGGTCAATGGTTGGAAATTTTCGTAACAGTTTTCTCAGCAACTACTTATCACAGCCTCTTGATATTTGGCATACAGCATTTACACATGGTCCCATACTGTGGGATTTGATTTCAAGTCTGCAGCTCATCCACTTCCTGTTCACATTTATGGTCACTGGTAGGAAATTTTCATAACATTTTTCTCAGAAACTACTAATCACAGCCTCTTGATATTTGGCATACAGCATTGACACATGGTCCCATACTGTGGGATTCGATTTTAGGTGTGTAGCTCATCCACTTCCTGTATACCCTACTGAATTAAATTTTCAACATTAATGGGTCAATGGAAATTTTGTTTCGTAACATCACAGCCTCATGATATTTGGTGTACAAATGCAACCCGGCCTTTTCTGTCTTTGACCCATTTTTTACTTCTCTATGCTTGATTTTTGTCTTGATCATTAAGCTTAAAAAGTACTGGAGATATTAATTTGAAACTTCACAGATATAGATCTTTTTGAGTAATGTGCTGTGTTTAAGAACCATAACTCTTTGCATACTTTTGGAGTTATTGCCCTTTGCATTTTTCACTTTAATTATTGTTAGCGTTACATGAAAAGTGTTAGTACTCACCAGATATCAGTTTAAAGTAATATTGAAGAGACAATTTATTATGTCAATTAGAAGAAAAAACAAAAGTCAAACTTTATTCAAGATTGACATTAAATATCATCCCGGCTACAGATTGTCCATGGACAGCCTTAAAATGACCATGGATATCCATGGATATCCATGGAAAGAGCATGGAAATACATGGATAAGTCAAGTGAATGGACAGTGTCCATACTAACAAACATGGATAACATGGACGATGTCCATGGATAACATGGACAGCGTCCAGGGAATATAAAAATGTTCATGGACATAGTACAAAAAAACTATGTCTAATGTGGACATTGTCCATGGTCAACTTCATTGCTCATACTTAGAAATTTTTATCAAAAGTGATTGGATGGATATGCAAAAAAAATCTAAGTGCCAAAACATGAAAAATGTTTAAAAAAATCATAACTGCCATTCTTCAAAAAATTATATGTTCATATTGGGTATCAAATTATTCAGCATGAAAAGAAGAAATCAAATATAGTAAGATCAAGTAGATATTTTTTTTTTTTTTTTTAAATTCCATAATTCAGACTATTTTCACAAAGATAACTTAAAAACAAAAAACAGAAACAAACAAACCTAAACAAGTCTACAAGTAGTGAGTAGATTATCTTTTTAAATAATTGAAATGGTATGCATAAGGGTACAGTATCTTTTTCTATATTATCATTTAACTGAAATATGACAGTTTTCTGGTTTTAAGACATAATTAAAATAAAGACAATTTAAAATATGGCATTGACACAATTGTAAATTGTTGACCAGATATTTAAAAACAGCAAGAACAAATGACTTTAATTGCTTAGCATTGAGATCGGTCATACATGTGTACTCATTGTAATTAAAAGAAGCAGTTAGCAAAATAAACACTTATAGTTTAACAAAATGAGAACTGTAATAGCCCCTCAAGAGCTTAACTGTTTCTTTTTTTATTGCAAAAAAACAACAACAAAAAAACAAAAACAACATGCCACACTTTGGCATTGAAAATGCATTTTTAACTCTCATTATATTCAAGGTATCTCATATCAAGCCTGATCTGAGTGGTTCATTATTATATATTACCCTAATTAAGTTAGAAAAATAAATACACAATTTAATAGAAACAATTTAAATTTAAGAACAAATGTAATTGTTATGCACTTATATTTCTTTATTAATTGATGATAAATTTATTATGTATCTCTATTGAAGTATATATAATTTATATATTCATCCTGTGTAGAAGTAACTTATGTATAGTGATTAATTTCTGGAACATTCAAATTAGCATCAGCCACAATGTAAATATTTATGACCCCTCAAGTGGAACCTGCTGTTTTCATAACTACCAAAGTTAAACTCACCTATCTGATATAAGAGAATGGAAAGAGGTAAAGCAGGTTTACAACATACTATATTACACTGTAGTTCCCAAGTAACTTAATACCCTTGCAGAACAAATCACAGGTCAGAACACTCCTTCCAGGCGGTTCATTTGAACAGAAGCATTGAAAGATAAATGTTTATTAGTGCCTAACTGCTTAAAAGTTATAACTTGAAATATTATGTTTGAGCATTGGAAATTAGACCAAATGAGTTTAAACTGGACAAATACAAGAGTTTTCTGGAAATATGAACTTTTAAACATGTGTATTTCATGATTCAGTTAAAATGGAGGGAACTACATGTATATAACCATTTCTAACAGTAAGTACAAATGTATTTTTGTTTTTTAACACTTATTATTTTAGTTTTTTCAAACTTTCTTTGCAAGTATACAATGTTTCAGCTATTGTATTTCTTACATACATGTAACATTTCAATATTAATAGTTAAGAAAATCTTTTTCATTTTTAAATAATGGCGGGAAAATTTAAATCAGAGATTACAATTTTCCATTCAAAATATTGGTGATTGAAACAGATTCCATATCAAGCAATGAATTTCCAAATTCACATTTAATAAAATTCATAATATGCCTTAATTGTAATTTCTTGTTACTCATGTACATATGTTTTTTTTTTCAACATATTAGGTTGCAAACTTTCAAGTCTTGGAGTCACATGAGATGTTTCAACTCAAAGGATGTCAGATGAGGGAAAAGTGATAAATGTACTGTTGAATACAGAATGCTTACAAAACCATCCTGGTAATAATTTAGTTTGTTTTGTTGAAAAAAGTCGAAGTACCGTAAGATGTTTTCATATAAATGCATGCTTTTTTCCAAAGTCTGAACAAAATGTTGTTCTACATGTGTTATACATATATTATTGTTATACTGACTCCATTGAACAAATCTCAAACTTTCAGTGGTAATTAAGTACTTGTGAAGGATAGAGTAATTTAAACTGCCATTACATAAAGTTGTCATTATATAAATATAGGAAAAGCAGGGAAATAATTGACACAAGTTTATCATAATGTTGATTTTGACAAAAATGAATCATTTTCATCAAAGCATGGTGTTTACTTGATAACCCTGTGCTGATATTCTGCAAAAATCATTTAATTGAAAGTTTTTCATCTTAACTTTTTTCACCCTTTCATGTTTCTTATCAATCATGTTTAAACAATACTAATTATATTGTAAAGGGCAACCTCGTTAATCGTTAATAAAAATAGTGTTGTTATGAATTAGGCTCAAAAATGCTACAAATGATGCCAGTACTAAAATTGATAACAAAGAATCCAAAAGAACTGAAAAGGCCAATATTACATTTCAGGACCAACTGCAGAGCAAGGTTATTGGCAAAACAAGCTACAGTAAGATGGCCATTGTTCTATTTCGCTTTTTGTATAAAGAGGAGGAATATGCCGGAAAATCATTGACAGGGAAAGCATCCAAAAGTGGCGAAAAAAGGCCACCTGTTGACCAAGAGAAGTTGACAGGAATTTACGGTCAGTGGTTTTTTTTTTTTTCTTTTTTGGTTATTTAAATTTCATTGAAAGTTTTTGAATTTCATTGAAAGTTTTTGAATTTCATTGGAAGTTTTTAATAGGGATTGAAAATTCTTTTCATAGCCAATTGTCTTGCAGGACAAGTGTCTTCAAATTGCTACTCGTCCATGTAGATAATTTAAATTGTTAGTTATTCAAGGGTTAAGTATAATACATTGATTTGTCAAGTCAATATTTATATAATTTGTTATGTTCTTTACAGATATCATCAAAAGGAATTTTCCGCATGTCACACCAGTGATGGTCAGGGAAAAGCTGCGTGACATTGTCAAGCCATCTCGTGCCAACAAAACAGTGAAAAAATAAATATGTGTACAAAATAAACTGTGGCGGTTTTAGCCATTCAGAACAATATAAATGAGAACATTTGAAAACTTGTTTTACTATAATTATATATGGTGTAAATAAATCTTTAATGTGTCATAATTTTACAGCCTTGTCAATTCAAAATCATTGTTGCACTAGTGCAACTCCCATGTGAAAAAGATTGTGTGGGACCTTTTTTTACAGACTTTTTAAACAGGTATCTACACAAGTGTTATATCATGGACATTGACCATGGATGTCATAAAAGATTCCTCAAAATTGGTTTTGAACATGGATAGAATGGACATTGTCCATGGAAAGAATGGACATTGTCCATGGAAAGAATGGACAATGTCCATGGTAAGAATGGACATTGTCCATGGCAAGAATGGACATTGTCCATGGACATCATGGACATTGTCCATGGGTATCATGGACAATGGACATGGAAAGCATGGACATGGATAGCATGGACACTGTCCAGGGATTTAAAGAATTGTCCATGGACAAGTGTTTCAATACTCCATGGACACTGTCCATGCTTATATCCATGGAAATCCATGGACATTCTGTAGCCGGGATAGAAGAAGCAACAAACTTTATGCAGAGATATGCATTTTCTGGGCATAGAAGAACATTTCAACTATTCAATTAATGTACAGATTATAACTAAAGAACAAAGTACACTTTAAAAGCCGTAATTTTATTTTACAAGCATAGAATGGAACATAAACATTTTGACTTGAAAGTCAAATTTTACATCCCTAAAGAAAAGTACTGCCATAAAAAATGGGAAGTTAAGTAACCCCATACTTTTCTAATTTTTCCTGATCATAATTATATGTGTTTAACTCCTGGAAAAGTGATTTTACGTCCAATTTCTGTGTCTTTTCCTGCTACTTTACAGCTGGAATTATCATACCGTTACTGTGAGGCAGTGACTTTGTATCAGAATTGTGTTCATGGCATTCTAGTAATTGTTTAAGAAATATGAGTTTCTGATAAAATTTTCTAACTGTTCAACTTCAATAAATTATATTTTTGATAAAAAGTTCACTTGATGCTTTGGTAGAGTACAAACTATAAACAGATTTATTTCAGTTTGGAGCTTTGACTTAAATAAATCTTAAACCCTGCAATGCACAATTATTAGATTTCTCAGTTTTATCCACCAATTTTTATACAACCCAGAAAATAGTTAAGAGTTTCCCTTTTCGACTAAAAGTTATTCACAAAATTTTCTAAGTTTTTTTCCACTATTTTGCCACCCAGAAAATAGTTAGAGTTTCACTTTTCCACTAAAAGCCACTCATTTTCCACCTTCAAAATAAACTAAGTTTCATTTTTCACCAATTTCCACCCTTTTGCCACCATAAAAAAAGTCTATGTTCAAATTTCCACTCAATGCCACCTAAATGCCACCAAAGGATAGTGGCATTTGGTGGCAATTTTGCCACTACAGTGGAAAAAGAGTGGAATTTTGTCATTTTCCAGTTAATGCCACCTTTTTTACACTTAATGCCACCCTTTTCAGTGGAAATAGCTGGCAAGTAGTGGCAAATCTAGGGACGGGCACAGAGGCATAGCATTGGTATAATGTATATATAAAAGTATACGCCCGGTACGGAGGCATAGCATTGGTATAATGTATATATAAAAGTATACGCCCATTACGGAGGCATAGCATTGGTATAATGTATATATAAAAGTATACGCCCATTACGGAGGCATAGCATTGGTATAATGTATATATAAAAGTATACACCTGTTACGGAGGCATAGCATTGGTTTAATGTATATATAAAAGTATACGCCCATTACGGAGGCATAGCATTGGTATAATGTATATATAAAAGTATACGCCTGTTACGGAGGCATAGCATTGGTATAATGTATATATAAAAGTATACGCCCGTTACGGAGGCATAGCATTGGTATAATGTATATATAAAAGTATACGCCCGTTACGGAGGCATAGCATTGGTTTAATGTATATATAAAAGTATACGCCCATTACGGAGGCATAGCATTGGTTTAATGTATATATAAAAGTATACGCCCGTTACGGAGGCATAGCATTGGTATAATAATGTATATATAAAGTATACGCCTGTTACGGAGGCATAGCATTGGTATAATGTATATATAAAAGTATACGCCTTTTACGGAGGCATAGCATTTTAAACGCAACATTTGAATTATTTACAATAAAACGGTTTGTGTTAAAATGTATCATCGCAGGAGTCTTATTTATCAATTTTATTCCAAATATATTCTTTTGATATTGTTTTGAGTACAAATTTAAAAGAATATAACACATCTCAAGATCGTTACATTGCAGTTTAAAATCGTTACGGTACCATTGTTGCATTTCGGCGACAGCACCTTTTAAAGAAAATCATGGAAAATAAGGGTCTCTTTCTCGAAGTTCTTATGTAATTCTGAATCTATTATCAATATTGTATTGATTTTAGGCAAATCTTGATGGAAAACATGGAAATGGATTATTTTTTTCACCAATCTTAAACTTTTATTGGTCAAGCGACAGCGATTTTTTTAGGTTACTACAGCTTTTCAGTTTAGCACAAATGAAAAACGAGAAGCATCCACGCTACAAAATTTAAGTTAAGCTGATAAGAACATCCCAGTGTACTTATTTAAATGTTTGTCACAAATGATTAAGGTCCTCTGTACATTTAACTACGATTTTAAAAGTGGAGACAGGAATTATTAAAAAAGCGCTTCAATTATAGGAGAATGGCTGTATAGTGAACAATTTCTTCTGTGGGCAACTCCTTCTACATTTCTAAACGGATTTTGACCAAACTTTCAAAGAACCTTTGTCACCAAGTGCCCTAATGCATATTGTCGGGGTTTTGCGATTGGATAATATTTGACCTGATTATTGCTCTTTGTATTTTTTCCTTATATAGATTATATAGTGAACAATTTCTTCTGTGCTGAACTCCCTCTACAATTCTCAACAGATTTTGACCAAACTTTCACAGAAGCTTTATCAAGTGCCCTGGCACATATTGTCAGGGTTTTGTGATTGGATAATATTTGACCTAATTATGGCCCTTTGTTTTTTTTCTTCCTTATACAGAATATTATAATAGTGAACAATTTCTATCATGCGCAACTTCTCCTACATTTCTCAACGGATTTTGACCAAACTTTCACAGAAGCTTAGTTATCAAGTGCCCTGGCGCATATTGTCGGGGTTTTGTATTAGGATAATATTTGACCTAATTCTGACCTTTTGGTTTTTTTCCTTATACAGAATTATCAATATATAGTGAACAAATTCTTCTGTGCTGAACTCGTCCTACATTTCTCAATGGATTTTGTTCAAACTTTCACAGAAACTTTGTCATTAAGTGCCCTGGCACATATTGTCGGGGTTTTGTGATTGGATAATTTTTGACCTAATTATGGCCCTTTGTTTTTTTTCCTTATACAGAATATATAGTGAACACTTCTTCAGTGGCAATTCCTCCTACATTATTCATGTTTTACATTGCACATACTTAGTTTCATTGTTTGTTGCTTGTATTTGTATTTCAAATACAACATATTTATCTACAATGGTGATAATTGAAAACCTGGTTGCATGGCATTGCCATGTTTCTTGTTGAATTATTACCCTTTGTTAATTTTTACACTTTGAGCATTGTCCGTGACATAACTCAAAAAGGAAAAGAGGTATCAACATGTAGGCTTTGTAGGCTGATAGATCTCATTGAGTAGGTGTGCAGTGCACAAGAACCGTAGCTCTGCCTTGCCTAATTTTTGAAGTATTCCCCTTTGTTTATTTTTACACTTTGAACTTTGTCTGGGACATATCGGACGTATCAACATGAAACTTTGTAGGCAGAAAGATCTCATTAAGTAGGCGTGCAGTGCACAAGAACCATAAATGCCTTGCCTTATTTTTAGCTCACCTGTCACAAAGTGACAGAATGAGCTGTTGTGATCGCTTTTCGTCCGGCGTCCGTCCGTCAGTCGTCTGTAAACTTTTACTTTAAATGACATTTCCTCATAAACCACTAAGCTAATTTCATCCAAACTTCACATGAATGTTCCTTTGGAGGTCACCTTTGAAAATTGTTCAAAGAATTTAATTCCATGCAGTATTACCCTTTGTTAATTTTTACACTTTGAGCATTGTCCGTGACATAACTCAAAAAGAAAAAGAGGTATCAACATGAAACTTTGAAGGCTGATAGATCTCATTGAGTAGGTGTGCAGTGCACAAGAACCGTAGCTCTGCGGTGCCTAATTTTTGAAGTATTCCCCTTTGTTTAATTTTACACTTTGAACTTTGTCTGGGACATAACTCTAAAACTATCGAACGTATCAACATGAAACTTTGTAGGTAGAAAGATCTCATTAAGTAGGCGTGCAGTGCACAAGAACCATAAATGCCTTGCCTTATTTTTAGCTCACCTGTCACAAAGTGACAGAATGAGCTGTTGTGATCGCTTTTCGTCCGGCGTCCGGCCGTCAGTCGTCCGTAAACTTTTACTTTAAATGACATTTCCTCATAAACCACTAAACCAATTTCATCAAAACTTCACATGAATGTTCCTTTGGTGGTCACCTTTGAAAATTGTTCAAAGAATATAATTCCATGCAGAACTCTGGTTGCCATGACAACCAAAGGAAAAAACTTTATATATCTTCTTCTAGAAAATCCAAAGAGCTAGAGCTTAGATATTTGGCATGAAACATCTTCTAGTGAGTGTCTACCAAGTGTCTTCAAATAAAAGCCCTGGGGTCAAAATTGGCCCCGCCCCAGGGGGTCATTAATTTTCCCTATATGCATGTAGTAAAACCTTAAAAAATCTTCTTTAAAAGAACCCAAGACCTTTAGCTAAGATATTTAGCATGAAACATCCTCTAATTGGTGTCTACCAGGTTTGTTCAAATAAGAGCCTTGGGGTCAAAATTGGCCCTGCCCCCAGGGGGTCATTGATTTTCCCTATATGCATATAGTAAAAACTTTAAAATCTTCTTTTAAAGAACCCAAAGAGCTAGAGCTAATATATTTAGCATGAAACATGATGTAGTCGATTTTTTCCAAGTTTGTTCAAATAAGAGCCCTGGGGTCAAAATTGGCCCCGCCCCAGGGGGTCATTGATGTTTCCTTATATGTGTATAGCAAAAACTTAAAAATCTTCTTTTTAAGAACCCAAAGACCTAGAGCTAAGATATTTAGCATGAAACATCTTCTAATTGGTGTCTACCAAGTTTGTTCAAATAAAAGCCCTGGGGTCAAAATTGGCCCCACCCAAGGGGGTCATTGATTTTCCCTATATACATATAGTTAAAACATAAAAAATCTTCTTTTAAGAACCCAAAGACCTAGAGCTAAGATATTTAGCATGAAACATCTTCTAATGGGTGTCTACCAAGTTTGTTTAAATAAAAGACCTGTGGTCAAAATTGGCCCTGCCCCAGGGGGTCATTGATTTTCCCCATATGCATATAGTAAAAACTTTAAAAATCTCCTTTTAAAAAACCCAAAGACCTAGAGCTAAGATATTTAGCTTGAAAGATCCTCTAATGGGTGTCTAC